CCCCCCCCCCCCCCTTTAAATGGTGGCTCAGGGACAGAGAAGACAAAAATTTCCGATCAAACTTGGTTAAGTAATTTTAAACGAATTTAATTATTTCGCCATTTACTCAGTACAACAGAGACAATAAAAAAGGTAAGCCTGTGAAATAGAATCTCAGAAAACAAACGATAAAATGACTGACGAAGAGAACTAGACAGGATCACATACAACCTTGATCACCTACTCAGTACACGTACTAGTAAATTTATAGCTTCCGGGCAACAACCGTCATTCGTGCCTTTATAAATCCGACGTAGATCGAATGAGCCGTACATTGAAGGCTCGGAGTTCACGTGAAACTGAGTTAAGAAAGAAGTAGCCATGCCATTGGGCGATTATTATTATTATTATTATTATTATTATTATTATTATTATTATTGGCGTTCAGGTTAACATAAAAAAACAATTGCACGTAAAGTGCACGTCGTATTTATATCACATGCAGCGGGTCCGAACACTGGCACCTATCTGAGCAAGAGGGGGCTTTTATTTATTTATTTATTTATTTTGTGTGTGCGTGTGTTCTGGTAGACTACATTTAGACTACATTTAGGATGTTGGGTAGTCCTAAGTCATTGTATGTTTTTTTCCCTTATTTTTCCCGGCTTATTAACCAATCAAGGTGACAGTGGAGCGTGCGTTGGAGGGTTAATTTTGATTCGCCCGTTTTGCTTTTTTTTTCATTGTTACCGGTACGTATCCTCCTCATGTCCCCTCATCGAAACTACCCCCCCCCCTCCTGCCTCGAGACGAACCCCACACCCACGCATTGTTTAGCCTGCCATGTGAAGATCTCTGCCTGTAGGAAAGTAACGATGTGGAGGTCGTTCGATAATTTTGTGCGTACCGATGCGTGTAGTACATTGTTTTGTTTTATATTCATCTTCAGAATTTTCTGAGTTGTGCTTTCCAAAACAAGGAAGATGTAAATGATCAGGTCAATATAAATTAATTCAATGAAAAATGAACATTGTATTTTTTATTTTATTGCTGTGACATTCTAAACAATAAAAAATACTATGGTATAACCATTGGTGTACTGTGTTAACAGCAACAGGAGACGTCCAAAGAGTTATTAGCTGATGCTTTTGTACCAGTCCAGTCTACCGACTTGACATACCACAAACTGATGGGTACAGGAGGCTTTGGAAAGGTTTACCACGCTCATCACAAACACTGGGGGGATGTTGCAGTGAAAAAAGTTCTGGAAGTGGAGGTTCCTGAAAAGTGAGGGTTGCAGCTGTTGTAATTATGCCTTTGTAACTGTTGAAATGGAAACAAAAGCAGCAACATGTACCTTTTGGGCAAATTCATATAAGCCATCTCTTCTTAACTGATGTATTGAATTTAATGTGATTTGTTGATTTATGTCTTTTTATCATCTCTTTATTATGATAATGATAGTACATTGGCTAAATTGGCCTTTTTCTTTAAATCAATATATATTTTCACAGGGTTATAATAGGCTTGAAAAGTGAAGCTAAAAAGTTATGGAGAGTCAGGCATCCTAATATAGTCCAACTATTTGGTGTTGTCATGGAGACTAAAGAATATGCATTGGTAATGGAGTACATGTGCCACGGATCCCTATCTGACTTTGTACATGACCTTGAAGTGCCTTTCCCTCTCCAAGTCCAGATGATCTACCAGATAATCCTTGCAATGAATTACATCCACACTTGCAACCCAGCCATGCTGCATCTGGATCTTAAAGCACAGAATGTCCTGGTAGATGAGAATTTTAATGTAAAGGTACAGAGTATGTTGACTGGGGG